ACACCTCCACCACCATCATCCCGCGGGGAAGAGGAAGGAGCAAAATCACGAGAGTGGAAAATAAACAGAGAGATAAACACACGGGCGTCTCACGCGCAAGCAGGGGTTCAACTCAGGGCAGGGGTTCAACTCAGGGCAGGGGTTCAACTCAGGGCAGGGGTTCAACTCAGGGCTGGGGTTCAACTCAGGGCAGGGATTCAACTCAGGGCTGGGGTTAAACTCAGGGCAGGGGTTCAACTCAGGGCTGGGGTTAAACTCAGGGCAGGGGTTCAACTCAGGGCTGGGGTTAAACTCAGGGCAGGGGTTCAACTCAGGGCTGGGGTTCAACTCAGGGCAGGGGTTCAACTCAGGGCAGGGGTTCAACTCAGGGCTGGGGTTCAACTCAGGGCAGGGATTCAACTCAGGGCTGGGGTTCAACTCAGGGCAGGGGTTCAACTCAGGGCAGGGATTCAACTCAGGGCTGGGGTTCAACTCAGGGCTGGGGTTCAACTCAGGACTGGGGTTCAAGCGAGGCTCCCCACGCCATCTGTATTCGTGCATTCGCGTGTGAGGGAGAATGCCGCGACGACGCATCGAGTCATCGGTCGATTCCTAAGACTCGCTGTGCACGCGTCCAATCGGCCGTGTGAACATCGATTTTGTTTTTCTTCAAAGTACGAAAATGATTAATCGACAGCCATGGTCAGTCCACCGCTGAGTTTTTAGTGCGGTGAGCTAACCACTGCACCACCGCTCCACCCGCCCTCCCATAATACCGTCGGCTAACAAATTGCATGTTTACTCGCAACAATGTCCCAGCCGCATTGTTTTCACGTGGTAATGATGATGTTTATGTTCCGCTTACGCTCAATGTTCCAGGCCGCGCGTGTTATTGCCCCGGTAATGCCTACAGATTGCAGCGTGGCAGCCCCTTGTGATGTTGTGGGCCATTATGTGTCGGATATTTCCATTAGAAAGAGGTGCGATTAATGTGCTTCACGTGACGATGAGGTGCATTAGTGGCACAGAATCACAAAGCGGCGTCGTTCACCGCCAAGTGGCGGTGATGTCGCCAGTGAGGCCTCGGCGCTTGTGCCAGGCTAGGTTCTCACACTGCGGCCGCCGCATGAAATTTGCAAGGCTCGCCGCTTGCACACGGGCTGATGGAGCAGCAGCATCATCATCAGCAGCAGCATCAGCAGCATAAAGTGTACTCCAATGTGCACGAACACAAGACACAGATCCCCGTATAGCCTTAACATACTTTTGGGGCAAGTGCTTTTAGCGAGCGCCTATGAAGGCCGGCACGGCGCACGAGGGGGTGGATGGCCAGCAACCACGCCCGGCCGCCTTTGTCTCCCCAGTGGTGATGTTTACACATCGCAAGCAGGGACTCATCTGAGGCGGAGTCGACCTAGGGACCGGTTCAGATAATCGTCACCGGTGTTGGCCGTGAGCGGGATTCAAGACCAATAACCCCCCCCCCCACCCCGTGTAGCCAGAGGGCAGGTGTTGTCTAAGGCAAGTGTTGTTAGCGAGCATCGCTAAGGCCGACACGGCACGCGATTGGGTAGCGAGGCCAGCACCACGCCCGGCCATCTTTGTCTCTCCAGTGGCGATGTTTGCACACCGCTCTCGGGCATTCATTAACGCCCGAGTTGGCAGAGGGGAGATCCAGGACGGGCTCGTATATATCAATCGCCGCTGTTATCCATGGAAAGGAAGTGAACCCTCGGCCCGCCAGGTTCGCAGCGCTGCGTAAACACAGGGGTGCGTGTGGAGCTCAGCCCAGCCAGTAATCATCGCACCCCAAAAACGAGGTGCGCGCATCACCTTCAGCTTCGTTGCCCTCGCTGCATTTTAGCTCAGAGAAAACACGAGTTGGGCATTTGATGGCCACTCGACAGAGCAGAATGATGGGGGGCGGGGGGGGGGGCTAGCCTGGATTGAGAGGCCGTTAAAGTGACCGCAGGTGTAGATCTGCCATCGTCTCACTTGCACACCGAAACAAGACACGCGCGCAGAACGTGCAGCCTGGTTTTCCACTCCTGGTCCTGGCTGCACTTTCGCTCGGAGAAAACGCAAGTTGGGCATTTCATGGCCACTCGACTGGGCCGTGCAGTTCACTGCCAGCGAGTGAGTCCTGGATGTAAACTTCCTTGTCGATGGCACTGTTGTAATAAAATCGAGAGAGAAAAACAAAACACACATTTTATGAAGTGTCCCTCTGGTGCAATTAGACCAAGGGCGCTTGCTGAATCGCGGATAATTCATCATCAAAGGCAACGGAGCTTTGCGTCTACAGAACGACACGGGTGCTGAACTGGCGTGCACTCTGACCCCCCACCGCCGCCGCCGCCGGCGCCCTCCCTTATGACACGGATCGGGAGCGCGGACATTGCGGAACGAAAACGAAACGTGCGGGAACGATACACGGGGAGAGCTGCGCGCGCGCGTGGGGACTGCATTAAAATCGGATGAGGTGGGGTGGGCAGGCCAGGAGCGGAGGGCGCAAACAGGTGGGAGATGCCATCCTTAACGCATTAGCGTGGGCTAGGGCACGGCACGGTTAGCCCGACGGGATGACGGTGAAGAGCGATGACGGTGAAGAGCGATGACGGTGACGGGGTGACGGTGAAGAGCGATGACGGTGAAGAGCGATGACGGTGAAGAGCGATGACGCGGAGGCAGTGTAGGGATGGACGCATGGAACGCGTCCCGAGAGCGGATCCAGCGACGAGGTCCGAGGCCGCGGGTAGACGCCAGACGGACCGTGGCATCGCAGGACCGCGAGGGACGATGGTGGTGGCTAAGGGGGGGAGGGGAGACCTTCATCCAGCAGTGGATGGATCACGGCTGACGATGACGAGTGGATCATCGTCACGAGTCGACATGCCTCCCACCGTCCCCTGCCCCGCAAAGAAGACGGCGCGCTCGGCCCCGTTGAGCCAAGCGTCGCTCCATCGACGGATGAGAGCCAAGAGCAGTGACTCGCCGCTGTGGTCGAGTGGCTCACAGCGAGTACCCAGCACAGACGCAACAGCAGCAGTACGAGCAGCAGCAACAGTAATACTAACAGCAGCAGCACTAACAACAGCAATACTAACAGCAGCAACAGCAGTACGAACAGCATCAGACAGGAAAGACTTGGCGAGTGGGGTGATTTGTATGTTTACTTGACATGGGCCAGTAGAAAATCGTGGAAATCATCCAGAAATGTACAGCGCTACCCAGCCCCTGCATGTGCCCCCCGCACTCCCCAAGGCCCCACGCCGCCCGCGGAGGGGATGGCGAGAGACTCGAGACGATTCATTTGTTGTTTCCCCGTCTCTGTTTAGGTTCAATCTGAGAGATGTAAAAAATAAATAAACCACGGCATAAATAATGACGAGGATCGGAATAGCACGCCCGACAGTTCCCTTGGCACAGGGGAGACGGGGGGGGGGGGCGAGCGGCCCTCCCCGTGGCCTCGCCCCGGGGCCGGCCCCATCTGTTGCACAACGGTCGCGCGTGGCCCTCGGCCATGCGTGGGTGGAGTGGGCTGTGTGCGGTGCCGACGTTGGCCCGGCCCGGCTCGCCGTGACGAGCCGCGGCTCGCGACGACGCAGCGATGCACGTGGCGCGGGTGGCGGGAGCACGTGGCGCGGGTGGCGGGAGCACGTGGCGCGGGAGCACGTGGCGCGGGAGCACGTGGCGCGGGTGGCGGGAGCACGTGGCGCGGGTGGCGGGAGCACGTGGCGCGGGAGCACGTGGCGCGGGTGGCGGGAGCACGTGGCGCGGGTGGCGGGAGCACGTGGCGCGGGTGGCGGGAGCACGTGGCGCGGGAGCACGTGGCGCGGGAGCACGTGGCGCGGGTGGCGGGAGCACGTGGCGCGGGTGGCGGGAGCACGTGGCGCGGGAGCACGTGGCGCGGGTGGCGGGAGCACGTGGCGCGGGTGGCGGGAGCACGTGGCGCGGGAGCACGTGGCGCGGGTGGCGGGAGCACGTGGCGCGGGTGGCGGGAGCACGTGGCGCGGGAGCACGTGGCGCACGTGGCGCGGGTGGCGGGAGCACGTGGCGCGGGAGCACGTGGCGCGGGTGGCGGGAGCACGTGGCGCGGGTGGCGGGAGCACGTGGCGCGGGTGGCGGGAGCACGTGGCGCGGGAGCACGTGGCGCGGGTGGCACGAAGCGGCCACCGCGGGTCGGCGTGCTTGCGGCGGCGTTACGTTGTGTCGCGGGGTGAGGCGGCGTACCGGTGCGGCGTGCCGGTGTGGCGTGCCGGTGTGGCGTGGTTATATCCGGCGTCCGTGGAGGTGGGCAGAGTTGTGGACGTGGCGGGGTGCGGCGAACCCCGGCGGCCGGAGTTCGATTCGCGCTCGCGGGCGATGCCAGCGACGGATATCCGAATCTGTCCTGGGCCTCTCCTAGGTCGACTCAGCCTTAAATGATTATCTGGTGTGGCATGTAAAACATCAGGACTGGGAGAGACAAAGACGGCCAGGAGTGGTGCTGGCCCTTGAATGCCGTGCCGGCCTTAACAGGCGATGGCTAACAGCGCTTTCCCCAACAGTGTGAAAAGTTGACAGGAGGGATCCTTGCCTCACGGTGTGGATGAATATTATAATGTAATCCAAAGATGGCAATCCATGCAGACGCACACGAATCTATCTCATGGCTCCGTCTCCGCAGTGGACGCGAAGCCAGGCGTGTTCACTCCGTCGGTCGCCACCCCGTCCGCCAGTCCCGACCGCCGCTGGGCATCAGCCCTTCTCGGCGCACTTCTCTCCTCGTGATCCACGACCCTCGCCCACACGAAGAATCTTACGCGACGTTTCTTCTGTTGTAAAATGGCCTTCCTTTAAAAACAAAAAAAGGCTCCAGCAATGCCACACCCGCGATCACGCGCCAGAGAATCGGGGCCATCTCGCTTCCGGCGCGGCGCGGCGGCGGCGGTGGTGCCGTGAGAACGGTGCCGCCGGCGTGTGCGGTCGACCCGGCGATGGGGGAAGCGATCGACTCGCTCACGGATGCGCGTACGGGGTGGGGATCGACGTTTTTTTTATTATTATGATTTACGGGCAAGAACAAGGCAAGCAAATGCGCCGTGTCGATACACACCGGGGGCCGCGTGAACCAACGACAAGAGACGCGAGCGACGTTACAAAAGAGACGCTAAAAACACCGAAAAAAGCGAGAACGAACAATTCCGAATGTATAGGGTGGCACGGTATAGCTTGGCATGGCGTGGTGCGAGGTGGCAACAGCAACAGCTTGGCACGGCCACAACGTTGCGCGGCGTGGCAAGGGGGCACGCCGCGGCTTGGCGTGGCTTGGCGTGGCTTGGCGTGGCACGGCGTGGTGCTACTGCGCGGGCTGCACGCTGAGCACGAAGCAGGCGAGCGCCGTCTCGATGCCCTGCAGCTTGAGCAGGGTCTGGAAGGCTCGCGGCGCATCCTCCGGCAAGCCGCCCAGCCCCTGCTCCTCCACTGCAAGAGACGCCGCCACCCCCCCGCCAAACAACAACAACCGCCACCAGAATCACATGCCTCGTTCATCCTGGAGAAAGCCAGCCACGAAGCTCTGTTTTCACGGCAACGTCCACCAGGAGGGACAACCACGACGTCCCACGCGGGGCCGGGCGGTTGTCACCGTGAGCCGTCTACGGCTGGGGCGTCGCCCGCTCGGCACTCTCGCCAGCTCACCCGGCCCCGGCTGGGCAAGAGGGCCCTGGCTGGGCAAGAGGGCCCTGGCACACCACCCACCCTGGCCCCGTGTGCACGCCTCGCCCCACCCAACGCCTCCTGGAGGCTTTGGCAGCCACAAGGTGGAGCGGTCCAAGAGACGAGAGGAGGGCGGGGGGGGAGTCTGGGACAGGGATGTGCTTGGGTTGACAATAGGGGACTCACTGGGTGGACAATAGGGGACTCACTGGGTGAACAATAGGGGACTCACTGGGTAGACAATAGGGGACTTGCTGGGTGGACAATAGGGGACTCACTGGGTGGACAATAGGGGACTCACTGGGTGGACAATAGGGGACTCACTGGGTAGACAATAGGGGACTCACTGGTTGGACAATAGGGGACTCACTGGGTGGACAATAGGGGACTCACTGGGTAGACAATAGGGGACTCGCTGGGTGGACAATAGGGGACTCACTGGGTAGACAATAGGGGACTCGCTGGGTGGACAATAGGGGACTCGCTGGGTGGACAATAGGGGACTCACTGGTTGGACAATAGGGGACTCACTGGGTGGACAATAGGGGACTCACTGGGTAGACAATAGGGGACTCGCTGGGTGGACAATAGGGGACTCGCTGGGTGGACAATAGGGGACTCACTGGTTGGACAATAGGGGACTCACTGGGTGGACAATAGGGGACTCACTGGGTAGACAATAGGGGACTCACTGGTTGGACAATAGGGGACTCACTGGGTGGACAATAGGGGACTCACTGGGTAGACAATAGGGGACTCGCTGGGTGGACAATAGGGGACTCGCTGGGTGGACAATAGGGGACTCACTGGGTGGACAATAGGGGACTCGCTGGGTGGACAATAGGGGACTCACTGGGTGGACAATAGGGGACTTGCTAGGTGGACACTACGGGGACTCACTGGGTGGACAATAGGGGACTCGCTGGGTGGACAATAGAGGACTCGCTGGGTTGACAATAGGGGACTCACTGGTTGGACAATAGGGGACTCACTGGGTGGACAATAGGGGACTCACTGGGTAGACAATAGGGGACTCGCTGGGTGGACAATAGGGGACTCGCTGGGTGGACAATAGGGGACTCACTGGGTGGACAATAGGGGACTCGCTGGGTGGACAATAGGGGACTCACTGGGTGGACAATAGGGGACTTGCTAGGTGGACACTACGGGGACTCACTGGGTGGACAATAGGGGACTCGCTGGGTGGACAATAGGGGACTCACTGGGTGGACAATAGGGGACTCGCTGGGTGGACAATAGGGGACTCACTGGGTGGACAATAGGGGACTTGCTAGGTGGACACTACGGGGACTCACTGGGTGGACAATAGGGGACTCGCTGGGTGGACAATAGGGGACTCACTGGGTGGACAATAGGGGACTCGCTAGGTGGACCATAGGGGACTCGCTGGGTGGACAATAGGGGACTCACTGGGTTGACAATAGGGGACTCACTGGGTGGACAATAGGGGACTTGCTAGGTGGACACTACGGGGACTCACTGGGTGGACAATAGGGGACTCGCTGGGTGGACAATAGGGGACTCACTGGGTGGACAATAGGGGACTCGCTAGGTGGACAATAGGGGACTCACTGGGTGGACAATAGGGGACTCGCTAGGTGGACAATAGGGGACTCACTGGGTGGACAATGGGGGACTCACTGGGTGGACAATAGGGGACTCGCTGGGTGGACAATGGGGGACTCGCTGGGTGGACAATAGGTTGACTCGCTGGGTGGACAATAGGTTGACTCGCTGGGTGGACAATGGGGGACTCGCTGGGTGGACAATGGGGGACTTGCTGGGTGGACAATAGGGGACTCGCTGGGTGGACAATAGGGGACTCGCTGGGTGGACAATAGGGGACTCACTGGGTGGACAATAGGGGACTCGCTGGGTGGACAATAGGGGACTCGCTGGGTGAGTGCGAGCGACTCACTGGGTGGACAATAGGGGACTCACTGGGTAGACAATAGGGGACTCACTGGGTGGACAATAGGGGACTCGCTGGGTGGACAATAGGGGACTCACTGGGTGGACAATACGGGACTCGCTGGGTGGACAATAGGGGACTCGCTGGGTGGACAATAGGGGACTCGCTGGGTGGACAATGGGGGACTCACTGGGTGAGTGCGAGCGACTCACTGGGTGGACAATGGGGGACTCACTGGGTGAGTGCGAGCGACTCACTGGGTGAGTGCGAGCGACTCACTGGGTGGACAATAGGGGACTCACTGGGTGGACAATGGGGGAATCACTGGGTGAGTGCGAGCGACTCACTGGGTGGACAATAGGGGACTCACTGGGTGGACAATAGGGGACTCACTGGGTGGACAATAGGGGACTCACTGGGTGGACAATGGGGGAATCACTGGGTGAGTGCGAGCGACTCACTGGGTGGACAATAGGGGACTCACTGGGTGAGTGCGAGCGACTCACTGGGTGAGTGCGAGCGACTCACTGGGTGAGTGCGAGCGACTCACTGCGTTGCGTCGTTTTGACGTGCAGCTGGATGTTGGGCAGGACGAGGCCGTGGGGGTGCACTTCGGTCCGCCACACCACGAGGAAGCGGGGCCTACAAAGACAAAGATCCCCGTGTAGCCTTAACAGACTGTTGGGGCAAGTGCTGTTAGCAAGTCGTACCTATGAACGCCAGCAGGGTGGGTGGTCAACGCCACGCCCGACCGCCTTTGTCTCCCAAGTTGCGATGAGTTCACACACCGCGCCAGGTACTCATTTGAGGCCGAGTCGATCTAGGGGAGGCCCAGGACCGGTTCAGATAATCATCATCGGTGTTGGCAGTGAGTGGGAATCGAACTCGGATCGTCGGGTTCGTCGCGCAGGGCGTTAACTGCTACATTAACGGTTCCCTCACCTGCGTCATCACACACACACACACACTCGCACTTTCGCAGGCCTTTACAGAAAAAACATCACCACAACGCTACGGGGAAAACGCCGCATTTGTGAGTGTTCATCCCAGTCGTGTGTGACAGCTCGTTTGATTGCAACCACCACCACAACCACCACCATCGCGGCAACCACCACCACAACCACCACCACCATCACGGCAACCACCACCACAACCACCACCATTCACGAGCTAACGCACAGGTGCGCGCGCGTCAACAATTTTTGTTTTTACCGTGGCTGCCAATCATTCCTCATCACCTACAACGGCTTCTATGATCGATCTCCGCACATGTACTGATTTCATCGCTGCATCTCCTCGGCGGTCGTTCAATTTCTTGGCTGCCGCCACTTCATCGTTGTTCTTGACCACCGCCGGCCCGCCCGCCCGCCCGCCCCAACAGTTCCAACGCCGCATGTGCCCCTCTTCCCCATCCCTCGGCGCGATTCCGGCACGAGTTATTTTTCTCCTTCCGTCATTAAAACGACGAAAATAAACACGGGCTATTCTTTGATTTTTTTGCACGTTAAGAGGCGGGCGTTTTGCCCGTCAAGGCCATATCGCGATGTTGTTCAGAAACGCGGCTCCGTGGTTCGCCCGTTTGGGGGCGAAGGAGCGGGAACATTCCAACGCGGACGAGAATAGCCGAGAGTAAAAAATGTCTTGACCAGAAAGGGCCGGGCGCCGGCTCCGTCGCGTCGATGTTGTTTGGCCAGGTGAGAACGACGCGAGAGGAGACCGGGCGTGGGTACGTCTCACTTTGAGAGGAGACCGGGCGTGGGTACGTCTCACTTTGAGAGGAGACCAGGCGTGGGTACGTCTCACTTTGAGAGGAGACCAGGCGTGGGTACGTCTCACTTTGAGAGGAGACCGGGCGTGGGTACGTCTCACTTTGAGAGGAGACCAGGCGTGGGTACGTCTCACTTTGAGAGGAGACCAGGCGTGGGTACGTCTCACTTTGAGAGGAGACCGGGCGTGGGTACGTCTCACTTTGAGAGGAGACCGGGCGTGGGTACGTCTCACTTTGAGAGGAGAACGGGCGTGGGTACGTCTCACTTTGAGAGGAGACCGGGCGTGGGTACGTCTCACTTTGAGAGGAGACCTGGCGTGGGTACGTCTCACTTTGAGAGGAGACCAGGCGTGGGTACGTCTCACTTTGAGAGGAGACCGGGCGTGGGTACGTCTCACTTTGAGAGGAGACCAGGCGTGGGTACGTCTCACTTTGAGAGGAGACCTGGCGTGGGTACGTCTCACTTTGAGAGGAGACCGGGCGTGGGTACGTCTCACTTTGAGAGGAGACCGGGCGTGGGTACGTCTCAATTTGAGAGGAGACCGGGCGTGGGTACGTCTCACTTTGAGAGGAGACCGGGCGTGGGTACGTCTCACTTTGGAAGCGTGACCCGGGTCACCAAAACAATGAAACATACCAACGGAACGAAACAAATACACACACGGCCAGGAAAATCGGTGCGGAGCGGTGGCGGCGGTCTGTGACAAAGAGCTTCACAGCTCATCGAATTCCTCCTCCTGCAGTCCAAATAAACATGCCCATTCTGGGATCCCGAGCCTCCGCAACACGGCGTCGAAATTCACAGTGGGAAGGGTGGCGCAGTGACAGTGGGAAGGGTGGAGCAGTGACAGTGGGAAGGGTGGAGCGGTGACAATGGGAAGGGTGGAGCGGTGACACAGTGGGAAGGGTGGAGCGGTGACAGTGGGAAGGGTGGAGCGGTGACACAGTGGAGAGGGTGGAGCGGTGACAGGGGGAAGGGTGGAGCAGTGACAGTGGGAAGGGTGGAGCGGTGACCCAGTGGGAAGGGTGGAGCGGTGACACAGTGGGAAGGGTGGAGCGGTGACCCAGTGGGAAGGGTGGAGCGGTGACCCAGTGGGAAGGGTGGAGCGGTGACCCAGTGGAGAGGGTGGAGCGGTGACCCAGTGGGAAGGGTGGAGCGGTGACCCAGTGGAGAGGGTGGAGCGGTGACACAGTGGGAAGGGTGGAGCGGTGACCCAGTGGAGAGGAGTGACCCAGTGGGAAGGGTGGAGCGGTGACAGTGGGAAGGGTGGAGCGGTGACAGTGGGAAGGGTGGAGCGGTGACACAGTGGGAAGGGTGGCGCAGTGACAGTGGGAAGGGTGGAGCGGTGACACAGTGGGAAGGGTGGAGCGGTGACCCAGTGGGAAGGGTGGAGCGGTGACCCAGTGGGAAGGGTGGAGCGGTGACCCAGTGGGAAGGGTGGAGCGGTGACCCAGTGGAGAGGGTGGAGCGGTGACCCAGTGGGAAGGGTGGAGCGGTGACCCAGTGGAGAGGGTGGAGCGGTGACACAGTGGGAAGGGTGGAGCGGTGACACAGTGGGAAGGGTGGAGCGGTGACCCAGTGGGAAGGGTGGAGCGGTGACCCAGTGGGAAGGGTGGAGCGGTGACCCAGTGGAGAGGGTGGAGTGGTGACCCAGTGGGAAGGGTGGAGCGGTGACCCAGTGGAGAGGGTGGAGCGGTGACACAGTGGGAAGGGTGGAGCGGTGACCCAGTGGAGAGGAGTGACCCAGTGGGAAGGGTGGAGCGGTGACAGTGGGAAGGGTGGAGCGGTGACAGTGGGAAGGGTGGAGCAGTGACCCAGTGGGAAGGGTGGAGCGGTGACAGTGGGAAGGGTGGAGCGGTGACACAGTGGGAAGGGTGGAGCGGTGACCCAGTGGAGAGGAGTGACACAGCGGTGCTCCTGTGTCACTCCTCTGTGTGACACAGTATGCTGCTGGAGAGCCGAACTGGGCAGTGGTGACTCCCATTGCGGTGACTCCCATTGCGGTGTCTTAACGAGCAGTGGCACAGCACGGTGCGGCGTCGCGTGGTCTGGTGCGATGCAGTATGTCGCAGCGTGATGCAGTGCAAGTAGGTGCCGTGTGGCGTGGTGCAGTGCGATGCCGCACGGTGTGGTGCACAGTGTGGCGCGGTGTGGTGCCGTGGTGCCGGATGATGCCGTGTGGCGTGTTGAGGTGTGATGCCGTGTGGCGTGGTGCGGTGCAGTGTGACGCTGTGTGGCGTGGTGAGGCGAGGTGCCGTGTGGCGTAGGTGCGGTGTCACACACAAGCGCTTGTACCCCGGCACGGCGGGGTTCTGGATGAGCAGGGTAGACCCGAATTCACCCTCCGGGAGCAGAACCACGCCGGGGAACCGGGCCTGGCACCGGGGAAAGGGGGGCGAGGGGGGGAACAGACAGATCGCCTTATACATCACAGTGGTGATTGTGGGATTGTTAGTGCCTGTTGTGGCATTCTTAGTGGCAGTTGTGGGATTGATAGTAGCGATTGTGGGATTGTTAGTGGTGATTGTTGGATTGTTAGTGGCAGTTGTGGGATTGTTAGTGGCGGCAGTGGGATTGTCAGTGGAAATAGTGGGACTTAGTGGTGATTGTGGGATTGTTAGTGGCAAGTGGGACTTAGTGGCGATTGTGGGATTGTAAGTGATGCTGCATGCGGGGATGCTCCGGTGCCAATTCCACAACCGAACACGACTCTGCTACAATCCAGGCGGCCCTGCTTTTATGCGCGCAACTGCTCGCCAAAAATCAAATACAGAGCAGACGAACAAATACAAACATCAACCTTCATGGGGCACTCTGCATGTCGTAACAAATTCAAAAAAGAAATGCGCTTAAGTGAGACTCTTGGGCCAGCAGTGGAAAGCCTTTATTTCGGAAAAGTAAAACCAATTCATAATCCCTGGGCGGGCGGGCGATGGAGAATATGGGTGCACATTTCAAATTCGCATCGTTACAATCAACTCCGGCAAAATGAAAAAGCTTAAGTGTGTGGGAAAAAAAATCACATTATTCTGCCGCCACTCTCGCCATATCGCTCGCAAGCCCAACGGTCACTCCAATAAAAATATTAACAGCGTGTGGTCACTGGCACCTGGGGCAGACAAAACATACCGTTGAATAATAATGAAGTGTTCCGTTTTACATTTTGTGCCCCGAATGGATTGTTTGGTTCAGCTAGAATATCGCCACTGCCGTCATTGTTGTTGTTGTTGTTGTTTTGGAATCGTTATTTTTACCGCGAGTGCGCTAATCGTGCGAGCCCCCAAGCGGAGGACTCAAAACTGGGGGGGGGGCGTGGGCCAGCAGGGGGGTGGGGAGGGAGGTTCGCCGCTCGTTGTGGAGGTTCGAATCCAGCGGCAGGCAGCTCTCTCCCCCCCGATTGATGCCGGATGTGAGCGCTGACCGCGCCGTACGCTTCACAAGAGAGGGCCGCCGCATTCCCGGTGTCGCGGTCCAAATTGGCCACGTTAAAAAAATTTGCCCGTAAAAATTACTCGAGTGGGTAACACAGGGGCGCCACGGTGGTGGGATGTTAACTACCTAGCCTGGTTTCCAGGAGGTCGTGGGTTCTATCCTGACCGTGACGCCTGCTGCATATTTGTAGTTTTCACGTACTCTCTTCCCGTGGTCGTGTAGATTTTTCTCTGGGTCCCCCAGTTTTTCTCTCCACATTTAGAATCAACAACATGTGTGTAGATTATTTGACTCCTACAAATTTCCACGTGTTAAGCCACTGTTCGTGTGTGGCCAGGTCGCTTATGATTTAGAGCCGTATACAATTCAGTGGTGCCTTACCTGGTAAAAAAATAAAATTGTCAAAGTCAAATCACCACCTACTCTGTAAACTACGAAAATGTGGCAAGACCCTCCTGACAAATGAGTCACAAGACTCAATTAATATTTTGCGGGGTAAATGAGTGTAATAATAATAAAAAAAACAATCATGAATAAATACAATGTGAATCCCCCGTCATGGTGTTTAACTCTTCTTATTGAGCCAGCCTGCGACCGAATGTCCTGGGCTCGTCGCGTCTCGGGCGACCCGGCACGGGCCAAGGGCGCAGAGCGTCGCTTGGATCGGCAACCCCGCCCCGTGGCTCATCATGTGGCCAGAAAGAGAAGCTAAATAGCGCAAATGGGCTTTAACCTGATAGGATAAAAACAAAAGTTTTAGTTTTATTTGTATAGATTTTTAAGGTGAGTTCAATCTTGATTTGGGGCTTAAAGTGAGTTGTTTACCCTTCCTTTGACTTTGCACTCCTGTCGTATTTTTGTACTGTTTGTTGTTGGAACAATCTGACCCGCACCCTACTGGACATTGGTGGAAGAGAGATGTATAACTGATCGGATTCCTCCAGTCTTAATAAAGATTATAAGTCTATAAACTACCGCGCCTGGTGTGTCGGAAGTCGTGGGTTCGATCCCGACCCCGACGGCCTGTTGTATATTTTTCTCCGGGTCCTACGGTTTCTCCCTCCACACTTAAAATCAACATTACGCATTTAGAGTTTTTGACTGCGATACATTTCCACGTTATAAGTGACTTTGTTGAGCTATCACTTGTGGCCAGTTTGCTTCTGAAAAAGAGCTATAGAGCTTAGTGGGCCTTACCGGGTAAACTAAAAAATAGTTGGGTTCAGGGTGGGGTGGCCACACAAGTCACGTGATTTACGGGAAGCTTGAGCTGAGGGAGAAATGTGTGAGCACTGCGCACAAATAGGTTGCCGCAGGGCTTGCGAGGCTACGACGTTGCAAGCACTGCAGCAAAACGAATTGTTGTACTGCGATTCTCTGCTTCTGCATTCACGCTGCCTGCCTTCCCCAACTCGCACTGACCAGCAGGGTGAAGTATGGCCAAACTCATCTCCGTGACCCGCACTGCAAGGGGAGACCCTTATCCAGCAGACGGATGAACACAAAACTAAAATCCCTGTTCTCATATGATGGCTGCTGCTGCTGTGACGTTTAATTCTGCCTTTGTTAGTTCGCATTGCTGTAGAACCCGTGAGGGGCGGTACTCGCCATTTATAGATTTATTTAATGTGCAGTTGACCCGGCCCAGTGGGAGCGTGGTCGCCGCGCATCATGGTCCGAGTCCGGCAGGTCGCCCTGGTTAATACTGCGGCACGTGAGTTTCAACCGTTAACAATGGGGCACTTCTATGGCGAGATGTTAACTCCCTCTGCTGCTATGGAGGAGCTCGTGGGTTCTCTGTCCCAACCCTGACGTCTGCTGTATTTGGAGTTTGCGTGTCTCTCTCTCTCACCATGGGTGTGTCTTTTTTTTGGGTCCTCCTCCGGTTTTTCCCTCCACATTTATAATCAACACCATGCGTGCAGAGTATTTGTGTGATGTAAACATCCACGTGATAAGCCACTTCGTTGATGAACTATAAAAAAAAATTTAGTTTCATACTCCGAGCGGGGGAGGGGGGGGGGACACGTTAAAGATTCCACGATGTCATTCGGCCGCCGTGTTTCCGTGACGGTCCAACTTTGCTCAATTCGAAAAACCACGCCGCAATTAACTCAATTTGGATCACGCACACGGCGTGTACGCGTGTATGCGTGTACGTGCGTACGCGTGTATGCACGCCGAACTTCTTCAGCACCGCGCGTAGCCAACCGTGCTCATCGGAGGTGCGGGGGAAAGGACAACAAAACGAAACACAAAAAAGCAGTGTCGCCCCCTTCACTGCCAAACAACTGCAGCCTGCGTCCGTGAAAAACACAGCAGCACCCCGTCTTCGTGATAGCCTTGCGCTACAGGAATGACAGCGCCAATACCAACTGTGCTCAATTATTATTAACCCACGTCTGCTTGTAACCCAATGTGTGTGTGTATATAAATATAAAACTGTTGGCACTCCTCAGTCCCAACGTTGCTTTCACCTGCTCTTAAAACTAAGGCGTCGCGACGACCCGCCTTAGCGTAATTAATGACCATTTTTATAAACATGTATTTACTTACAAATATAGTTTTTGTTCTACGACGATAAATTGTGTGCGCGTGTCTGTGTGCATGCATGTGGAGCGGTAATGTAGCAGTTAGTGCACTGCGCTACAAACCCAAAAACCCAAGTTCGACGATTATCTGAACCGGTCTTTGGCCTCCCCTAGATCGACTCAGCCTCAAATGAGTACCTGGTGCGGTGTGTAAACATCGCCACTGGGGAGACAAAGGCGGTCGGGCGTGGCGTTGGCCGCCCAACCCCCTCATGTGCCGTGCCGGCCTTCATAGGTGCTCGACAACAGCACTGCCCCAAGTCTGTTCAGGCTATACGGGGGATCTTTGTTTTTGTGAACACCAGCGCGTGTGTGTGTGCACTTGTGCGCGCGCGCGCACGTGTGTGTGTGCATACGCACGTGTGTGTGTGCATACGCACGTGTGTGTGTGCCTGTGTGTGTGTCCGTGTGTGTGTCCGTGTGTCCGCGTCGCCTTTGCACGAAATGCAAATGCCTGCGCTGGCCGTGCCGCAGCGAATCTAAATGTAAATGCGTGCGGCGCCGCTACCGCAGCAGCAGCAGCAGATTGCCGCTGAATATCTGACCCATAAACGATGGAGAAGAGAAACATTATTTTAGAAAGCGGCAGGGGCACCACGCAAAAATTGAGATAAATGAGGCTGTGCGGGTTTTTGTTTGTATTTGTGGATTTGAGTGCTTAAAGTGGTGAGCGGCAACAGCAGGGGGGAGATGAGGGGAGAGGGGGGGGGGGCGGTGGGGTGGAGGTGTGCGTGCGCGACGACCACACGTGATTCGCGTGCGTGGGCGCACCACCACAGCGACACGCGTGTACAAACACGCATCTGCGAATGAATAATATAAACATACATGCATATAAAATAATAGTAATGGACACAGGACGCCGGGCTGACTCAGGGGTCAGGGACGCTGAGCCGGCACAGCCGAGATACCGAGTTTGCGTCCAGGTTACAGCCGCCCAACCGTAAACAACCTGAGTTCTTGAACGTAGAGTGGTGATGGTCTCAGCCTGGTCACCAGTGACTCATGCCGAAACCGGTAAGACTCACGCAGAGACCCGTAAGACTCACACAGAGACCCGTAAGACTCACACAGAGACCCGTAAGACTCACACAGAGACCTGTAAGACTCACGCAGAGACCTGTAAGACTCACGCAGAGACCCATAAGACTCACACAGAGACCCGTAAGACTCACACAGAGACCCATAAACTCACACAGAGACCCGTAAGACTCACACAGAGACCCGTAAGACTCACACAGAGACCTGTAAGACTCACACAGAGACCTGTAAGACTCACACAGAGACCCGTAAGACTCACACAGAGACCTGTAAGACTCACACAGAGACCCGTAAGACTCACACAGAGACCC